GAGGCTAAGCGGTTAGCGAGTCAATCACAAAGTCGAGACGGGAGCATGACTTACTAAACCGTTAGGGCGCCCGTCTTGGGGTCAAGCCAGACATAGTCGTCCACTCCATCACCGTCCATGTCAGCAAACCGAAGACTATCAATGGCCATGGAGTCATCGGTAGTCCCTCTGTTATACCAGACTGAAAGTGCACCATGGTCGCCAACGTAGACGTAGTCATCCTTCCCATCGCCGTCCATGTCTGCCAACCGAATAGTGCTTGGCTTCTTCTTGATACCATCTGCAATGGTCTTGGCGGGACCCTGATTGACGAAAAGAGGAACACCCTCCCGGTTGGTGGGCTGGTTGAGGAATCCTGTGAGGCCACCCTCTTCATCCCAGATCAAATAGTCTGTTGTCGATTAGCAAGAACCATGACGTGCGACAAGGGAGAGCTTACCATCACGGCCATCTCCATTCACCTGTGAATCATGCTCGTTAGCCCGGCATTCAAGTCTAAGTTCGTCCCACTTACATCGGCAAACACCAACTTCGAAATGTCACTGACGGCTCCAGTGGCGATACCTCCCATCGCATGAAACAGCACATCCCGGCCTCCAACTGATCCAGTATTCAGATGATGCTTCAGTGATCCACCTTCACCAATATAGACATAGTCAGCCCGCCCATCACCGTTGATGTCTGGGAATCGCAAAGTCTCAAGGTTGGCATGCGGAACTCCCGAAGCAATCTCACCGCCAGGCACAAATTTCCAACCGTTGTCCCAGCTGTCATCAGGACCATAGTTCCACCATACCCGAACCGAGCCATTGTCTGGGTCTACGACGAGGTAGTCGTCCATCTACCGAATGTTAGCACAGGTGTCTAATCAGACAAAATACTCACTCCGTCCCCGTTCATGTCCTGACAGTGGGTTAGCCTTGGCTTATAGAGAAATCGAGTGGGAACTTACCGCCAGATAGATAGTCTTCGCAGGGCCTACACCGCTACCGATGATGCCATTGTTGTTACCAGCCTTCGACCACGGTTTGGGTAGATTGTTGAGCCAGCAGGTTATCTCGCCCGTTTTGGGATGAATCCATACGTAGTCTGGGACAGTGATTAGTGTGTGCTCCAACAGTGATTAGCGGTACGGTGAAGATCAAATGCTTACCCGCTTTGCCATCGCCATTCATGTCATGCAATCTGACATACTGATTGTCCAAGCCAAGTCCTTCAGCAACTTCACCCTCTGCTTTCCAATCCTTGTGATACTGCCAATCACCGTTCTTACCAACGCCACCCTGCGCAATCTTTCCAGTACCCTTGTACCAAGGGTTGCCATTGCAAATAACGCACTTGTCCTTACCACCAGTTGCATATTCAGCCGCATCTGCCACTGTCTTCTTCGAAGTGACCTGAATAGGGCTCTTTCCCCAATCTGGAGCAGGAATGTTCTTGTCAATACCGCCGTTAGTTCCATCACCACCATTGGGATCTGGTCCAACTGGCTTCTTGATCCAGCTGGTGGGAATCTGGTGGATGAAGCTGTACCAATAGTCACCCATAAGCTTGTATCCGTCGTTGGTAGGGTGGATGCAGTCCTGGAGATCACTTGTCTTAAAGGTCGTGAAATCCACCGCCAAAACGTGTTGACCATCGTCATGACGTGACTTGACGACACCAGGAACAAGCTTCTGGAATTCCTTTGTAGCAGGTGATTGTTTCTCATCGCATGTGTTGATGATCATGGCTACCAAAATGGTTGCGTCGGGGCATGCTTTAACCATCTTGTCAATGAGCTTGCCGAGTCGGTCAGCAGCGCCCTTGGGATCATTGCCCTCCTTCGAGATGCCACGATTGGGGTTCATATCATTGGTTCCAGCTGCCAGAAGGATGATGTTGGGTCGCTGTTTGAGTGAAGGGTCGGCATGGTCCGAGATATACTGGATGGTCTTTCCCGACCATGCTGCCTATCTGGAGTCAGTTAACTGTCCGTAGCGAGCCGGTGTACGTACATAGTTTCCGTCGGACATTGTACCCGATGACTCTGTACCAGCAAAGACGACCTTGTCTCCTATGCCTTGTTAGCAATGTCTACCTTAGCCTCGTGTATTCTTACCAGAAAGATCCTTCTTCAATTGCCCACGGTAACCATTCCCATCACCTCCCTTTCTGTCGCTCAGATAACCAACTGTGATAGAGTCACCGACTGGCAGAATCCTCAGCTCGGTACCCTTCTTGACTGCCTCTCCCGGTTCAGTCTCCTTGTACTTCAGGACAATGTTGCCAGAAGGATTGATCGGGCACTGCGCTACCGATGTGTCAAGGAGAGGTTCCGGTGCCATATTGTTCTCCTCCATTCGACGATTGGACACCTCGAATAGAACAAGGTTGGCAATTAGCTCATGGAGCAGGATCTGGGGATGGAAGACACGGCCGTAACTAAAGGATTGAGGGGATTAGCTTTGAACAAAGCATTGTTGCTGTTACTTACCCGTCAGGTAAAAGGTTTGGCACATCCTCGGTGGCACCCTCTTTAGCTGCGGCCTGGAGTCCCTGAATCTCGGAATCATCTTCAATCTTGTGCTCCTGCCTGAATGTAACATCTGGCGCGACAAACTCAGCTGCTCGGGCCATCGTGTTCATGTCACCTGAAAATGAACCGTTCGTGTGCTCGACAGTGCTGCGCTTCCACGGCCTATTACCCCACGGGTCAAAAGTGTCGAGCTCATAGAACATCAGCTCCGGTCTATGATAGTCAGTATATGGAACGAGTCAAACTTCTAGAGTGTTAAAGCTTACCTTGTGTTGCTGTCAACCACCGACTCGTCAACACCGTCTTCGCAGTATCGGCCTTTGAAGTGGCCGACATACTCATCGTAGTTGATGAATGTCACCTTGTCTCCGGCTCTCTTGACAGCGGCTTCCTACAAGTCGAGTTAACTAACCGACTTCCTAAGTATCTGTCTGCACTTACAATTTTGTCGTTTATGAGATCAACCAGCCTGTTCATCTCTCTTCGACGCAACTCTTCAAGGCGAGTAGCAGGCTGCCAAATGTTATATGATTTCTTTAGAGACAGTGTCAGCAGAATTCGCAGACTGGTTCGATTCACTTACAAATATCCAGGTTGACCATGACACTTTGTCGCAAGCAGACCCATAGTCAGTGCTCCAAAATTTGGCATACCTATAACTGAGATTAGCGAGAGCGGGATGATACTCTATCTAGCACTATCATACCCTGTGTAGTATATCATGCCGCTACATAGAGAAATAGCATCAGTAGATATCCAATGAGTGCGCTGGGACAGAGCTTACTCTGATGACAGTTTCTTCTTGGTAGCCTCGATCATCGAGTCGATCCTTTTTGAAAACTCATCGGTGTTTATGATGTTCTTGGAGTACTGTAGTTGACCCAGACAGCCACGCGACGCAGCGTCCCAGTCCCATCCCTTTGCCCAGGGCTCACCTTTCATTTCTGCAACCTTACCTACAGTAGAGTGCTGGTCGTTTAAAGCAAACCATTGATAGACACATTGGTTCAAGATATTGACAAGCTCGGCATCGTTGCCACCTGAAATATTGTTAGTTGGTGTTGACGCCTTAAAGGATTACCTGTTAGTCTTACCTGCAGATAAGAGAATGATCTGCTGATCAGAGTCTATTGAAGGGAGCTGATCCTCAATCACGTTCTTGATGACCGCGCCAGAGCAAGACTTGAACTGAAACTTTCTGTTGGCTGTATCGCCCAGTCTTTCATCTTGATTGATGAGATATGGGTAAGAATGGTCATATCGCCGGCAGTTCTCATCTGTGACATGTTAAATCTCGCTGCAACAACCCAAAATTATGAACTTACCGCCTTCGCCGTGTAAGCCGTCTCCAGCTCCAATACCAGCTGAGTATGAGTCCCCGACAGCTGCAAGCTTCTTAATGAACGTTAGATCATCTGGATTGAAGAAGTCGGTCGTTTCTCTGCCAAAGATGTTGTTCATGGACATGGACCCAAAATTAATAAGAGAAGGACGTGCTACTGCTGAGCCAGCAGCAGCGAAAAGTGCCAAAGCATAGCGTAGACGCTGCATGATCATACAAATTGCAAGCAAATAGAACGTGTTACTCTCTTTTGGTAAATACAGACACTTGGCGATTTTCATATGTGAGTCAATGAAACTATTGTTAGCAAGCTGGTAGTCAGCCTTGCAGGGTTTGTCTATTTCTTCCTCTTGGCCCCCAATGCCAGTTTCAAGATCTGCACTTCACCCAGGCCATTGAGCATGGCCCCCACAGTCCTGCGTGATTTAGTTATCACCTCATGATCCAGTTTGACCGAGAAGCTCAGTTCGCATTCGACCCACGCGGTGACATGTAAATGAATCTTACCGGGGAGAACCAACAGATGAGGGATAAAATTAGTCGGGGATTTCCTGACTCGAAAGGATCATCATGCATGAGTCGCAGCACGGCCCGTTAATTATAGAAAAGCCACTGTCGAAATGGTAAGTCGAACCAACAACTGTGTTTCATGACCCCTTGTTAGCGTCTTGTTGTTGGTTCTAGCAAAAAAGCTCGTGTCGACACCCACGTTGCATGGTCGGCCCTTTCAGCTTTCATTGGTCGCGGGACCAACTAGGTTTCCATGTATTTATCACAGCGCGTAGTTAACATGTAACCGAGTTAGTAAATGGGGGCTGTACGGCCAACAAGGCGAGTAATGATATGCAAGTTATTTCAGAATTTCAGCTTCGGCAGTTTTTCAGAGGATCAATGTATGAGCCTTTAATTTTAGAAACTCTCGTAGTGCTACGATCATCGTGTCTGCCTTCCGACTTACCCGCTGGCCGAAGGGCGCAGGCCTGGCGGTATTCTGTTTCTCAGATCCTTAGAAGTAGCCCGGATTTGACTGCTATGCTATTGCTCCGCGTTATTCTGACTGCCACGTACTTAATTATGCTAGAACCGCTTGGATCTTAATTCTTAGGAGAAGAAGATACCTTTGTCCAGCAATCTGCCAATATGTCGCCTTTGTCCAGCACTCTTTGCTACTCGGCATTCTTTATCTTATTCTTGTTTGTGCATCTTACCGAAACAGCCAACTTAGAGACTAAGCATCCCCCGAAAGGATTGCTCAAGGTCCGTCTTGACTATGGACTTGCAACACAGCCAGTGCGTGGAGAAGATGAGGAGGGCTCCCATCGATGGGTTTGGTCGTCATATCTTGAGTTCAAAGACCCGGTGTCATCCATCACCGACTCTCAGATACGGATGATGGCTCAGAATGCACACAAGGAGATGGAAATTGACATGATGCAATATGACCCCGAAGATCAAGACGGCCAATTCGCGATTCTTCCAACGGTCATGACCATTCTCGCCTTTGATAATAAGATTATCTTGGCGTCTTCTCAGAGAGGAAGATCGGGATTCATCAATGAGTGGCCCCAAAGCCCGGTGAAGCTCTCATTGGACCGCTGTAGTGTCTTCTGGAGGGAGCGTGCCCTCGCCAATCCCGATTACTCAAACCCATACTCGTGGCACAGGAATAAAGCGAAGTGCGGAGAAGTCAATGCATTTCACCTATACTATATGACAAATGATCAGCCAATACCTGATCTCAATCCCAAGATGCGTGTCACTTCTGTCAGGAAACAGGGCAAAAACTATGTGATAGTACCACCATGCGGTCAAAACAAGAATGGCGTCGACAGCAAGGTGAGTCACACCGTGGCGTCATGGTGCTATTTAGTGGATGCCTGTCATTCGGTTCATTATTAACACAATATCAGACCGAATGGGGCTGCAATCTCTTGGTCCCAGACCAAAAGGTTAAATACATCAATGACGACGTCGCGCCAGCAGGGTATGGTTTGAAAAAGATTGCCGGAGGTGTACAAAGGCAAGGTCAGATTCAGATGTGCACAAGGAATCGCATAATCTGGGATGGGGAGTAAGCGTGGTCGATTTTCGGTCTCTCTTGCAACGTAGCCGTATGGCCCATGAAACTGGTTATATTTATCTTCTTTAAACTCGGTTGTCTTTCGGTATATTCTTTTGTCTTGCATTTAGCTAGCACATGGTAAAATATCTATGCTCGCGGCTCATAGTCTGGAAAAAGTTATTCGTTCGAGAACGCAGAATGCATATGATCTATATAATCTTACTCAAGTCCCTCTTTGGGCTTTCCAGCTTCAAGTTAAACTTCCACCCAAGTGCTTCAATCTTTTCCTTGCACACCTCTGGCATCCCACGACTAACGAAAGACGGCGGTAGCTTGACACTCTTCAAACGAGTCAGATGCGATAAACTACCAGTTTCCAGTTCCTTCTCGAAAGCAGAAATCATGGCTCCATCTCGATCATTATGCGGTACAGGCCATAGACGAAAGCGGCTCAATGTGAGGTGCTCGAGACTTTGTGGTAGCGAATTCCCAAGACGTCCAGGGGCACAAAGCTCAGTCTTGCCAGTCAGAAATGACCAAGGAACATTCAAAGTCTTTAGCCTGTGCATGCTTCTCATCTCTGCCAACGAGTCGTGAAATGTGAAATCAGGTGGATCAATATCCCCCATCGTATATGCGGGACATGTCTCGGCGGTGATTTCTAGATCCTCTAGTGAATCCTTGACCTCGAGGAGAGCCATTGCCAATTCATCGAGCATTAGCGTAGAATTGTTGACCTTCTCATCGAAATCAGGTCGGTAGAACCAATTGTACCTCAACTTCTTGAGATTTTTTGCGGCAGATAACACTGGAGCGAGCCGTGTTTCTCGGAGTCTGAAGATGTCTAACGAGGTTAAGGACACTGGGTTCGGGGCGGAAGTGCGCGGCCACGAGAATGGCGTGGGGTTCTGGATGGAGGTGGAGAGATGCTGGATACTGGGCAAGTAGAACAAGCAAAGATCTTGGTCTACCTTGTCGGGTTCCGTGTTTGCGTCCTCGTGTAGCATTGGGTCGAGGGAGACATACTTCAGAGAACTAAAAGTGGGCTGGGAGCTTTGAGTAGAGTCGTGGTCTGTCCTGCAGAGTGCCAGCTGAAACATGATACCCAAAAGTCGCGCCTCGTTGAACCAATTCTCGGAGACAGTAAGTCGCTCCAGTCTTGGTAGAAGAGAAACTATGACAGCTGCGGCGGCATCGGAGGTTGCCGATTGAGATTTTTGAATGATACCCAGCTGGAGCTCCTCCTCAACTTGTAGGTACCTACGGCGATCGGAGTATAGTGCTTTGAATGTCCAGTCATTTGCTGTGGAATCAGACACCCCTGTCCTTCTGATCGCTGCAGTGAGCTTATCGAGAGGAAGATCCGGCAAGTCAGGCGGTTCAGGCGTTTCGCCAGGCCATGGAGGATCATCATAGTCAATGAATCCATTACCGCCGAACTCGATGGAACGAACATGGTTCCGTAGATCTGGCCTTTCTAGCAAAGCTCGGAGTAACAGCAGCGCTTTTGGGATGGGTGGATAATACTGCCTCGACCAAGTTATCTGGATAGTGGAGTAGACGAGAGGCTCAGTAAGGCTGTGCAGGGCTCGACAAGTCATGGAGAGGTTGGCTGCATCGGCCTGGGGAAGTAATTCAGCAATGCCGAGTTGAACCTCTTTGGGGCAGTCCAACAGCGAAAGAGGAGCCATTACGAAATGACAGTGAACTTCCGGTGGCATTCAGCGAAAATAGATGTAGGAGAGGGATTTAGCAGGCGCATGAATTGATTGATCCTTTATGTTGTTGGTCCGACGTGAAACAGCCTTAGTCCACTTTACAGTGATCAGCACCGCCATATTAGTGGGGGTCTCCAGCACACCCTGGTCCCTGGAGATCTTGCCCTGAAACGATTTACGCGCCGAGAAAAGTATGCTCAGGCAACGACCCAGTAACTACTCTGTAGACTCCTGTCAATTTCGGTGGAATGAATGTCTCTAGCACTATGACCATAGAATAGGAACCATCATTCTCACTTCCCAAGACCCTCTTTTAGACAAGCTTTCAGATCCCCATCAACGCGCCCGAAATACTCTGAGACGAAGTTAGTAAATGGCAGCCCAACATTTCTGTAGCTATAGAAAACTTACCAATGACCTGATCCTTCATCTTATCAGGAATATCGCTCAGCGTTGGAAGGATATTATGCAAGAACTGTTCTTTGCCTTTTGGCTCTTTGCAAATAATTTTCCAGAGCGCTCTAGGCTGCTCAAAATCTTTATCGGTGATGGAGGTTGCGAAAGCGGTGACATGGCCCGACCAATCCTCGTGGGTAGGCACTTGAACTCGTTTGCTCGTACTGACGGGGCGAAGCTCTGAGCCGACATAGTCCGGGTCGCCCCCGTAGTTACCATTAATCGTGCCAGGGCCGTCGCGGACGTATGGGGCGTAGACCTTGTTGATGGGTTTGTTGCAGGGCAGCTGGAAGTAATTGGGCCCGACTCTAGTCATTATTAGACTTGATATAACGAGAAAGGGTCAATTTACTTGCCTGTAGCGATGAGCATCTGGGTAGCTAAACATTCTTGCTTGCAGTACTTGTGTCGAGTTAGTCTCTGGATGTAAACGTGGAGGGATCTACATACCAGGATCCGCAGATGGTCCGATGCCAGGAACCATGTTTGAAGGCGAAAAGCACGCCTGCTCCAAATCTTGAAAGTAATTGTTGAGCTATGACAATATATCAGAACCTGAGAGCCTCAAGTATCGTGAAACTTACATTCTTGGTAAGAGTCATCCTACCGACAAGCCTGAGAGGATACTTCTCAAAAGGCCAAGTATACGTGTCGTCGAAAACATCAATTGGAGCATCTCTGACCTCATCGGGTTGCATAACCTGTATGTAAACACCCCAAGATGGGAAATCTCCTTTCTCGATAGCCTTGAAGAGATCTTTGACGTGGTAGTCTGGCTCTGAGCCTGCAAGTCGCTGAGCAGTGTCTGCATCCATTGTCTTAATTCCATCATCAGGGCGGAAATGCCATTTGACGTAGACATAGCTACCATCCTAGATGGTGTCAGTTTGATTTGACTGGCTTAGCATGGTTCTTACAGCCTTGTTGAGGGTATAAGTGTGAACACTGAAGCCATTGATGTTTCTCAACGACGCAGGAATGCCACGTTGTCCAAAGAGGTGCATCAAAGCATGAATACCCTCCGGATTGTTCAGATGAAAGTCCCAGAACATCGTGTTATCCGGAACATTTGTCTGGGGATGTCTCTTGTGACTGCGGTTCATGGACGGAAACTTGATCGGATCTCGGATGAAGAACACGGGCAGATCGTTGAAGACAAAGTCCTGAATACCCTCCTCGGTGTAGAATTTGGTCGCCCAGCCGCGAACATCACGTACGGTATCGCTGGAGCCTTTCTCGCCGCCGACGGTCGAGATTCGTGTGAGTAACTTCGTCTTCTTGCCGATGCCCGTGAGGAAGTCTGCGTCGGTGAGATGGGAGATATCTTCGAGGACTTCGAATTCGCCAAAGGCTCCAGCGGCCTTTGCATGTACGCTTCTAGATCTGCTATCAGCCAATGATGCAAAATTGGTCAGATTTACCGGTACCTCTCTGGAATACGTTCACGAGCAAAGTGAGCAAGTACTTCAATAGTTTGCGTGTCGCTCAAGACGATGAGGCCGCCGTTGCTTTTTCCATAGCGAACTTGCTGAACTGAACCTGGGTTCTCACTCGGTTGCCCTAGATAATGTTAGGCACATGACTAAGAGGAACTGGAATGCGTGTACCATTGGCAAGAGTCGAAATGGGATTGTTCTGAGACTGGTTTTTGTAAGCCTTCAACGAGAATCACAAGCTGTAGTTGACACTCACCATGGCTAATTTGATGATGTCTTGTCGCTGCAATTGATCGTACTGCGAAGTGAATACTGTCCTCACGGACGCAGCACAGCTCATCTTATGCCCCCCTTCCTGCATCACGACCATTCCTAATCTTACACGGAAAGCTCGGGTGCCATTGAATTAAGTTGACCCCGCACTCGTACAGCAGCCACTTTGTCATGATGATCTCTGATGCATCCCAACTCTGTCAGCTCTTGATAACGACCCCACTTTCACAGCGTAAGCACCAACCATTCACGACAACATCATTAGACAGCAGTGTCACCGCTCAGGGCATCAACGGTAAATCGGCCCTATGGCTTAAACTCAATGCCTTCCTTGCATGGCGCGGCTTATCGAGCCAATGATCTCACATCGTGGCTGTTTTTGGGTATACTACTGTCTGCTTCATCATTGGCCTGGTAGTCTTACTCGATCTAGATCGTTTTGAGCAGATCGTAGGGTTACAACCTTGGGCGACGCCCGCATGTTGAACTCTCTGCCGCCGTATAACGCAGGTTAACTTAAACCCAGAGCTCGCCGTCCTTCCCCTCTTCTCCTCAATTGCCCACACCCAAAACTAATTTTACTGTTGCTTTTCAATCATGAAGACTACCAATCGTCCTGATGAATGGAAGATCGAGCAAGGTCTCTCCGGTGCAGTTCTTCCCGTTCTGGACCAAACCGGACCAAAGACCGTAGCTCTGGATCCTCAGATCTTTGGGGATCTCACCAAAGATGAAGAAGCTATCAAGTCGGTCGGTGACCGTGAGAAGCTTTTCACTCGTGAACGCAAGGGTTGGGTTGGGTAAGACTCTTCTCAAGTGTACCATGCCAAGCTGACTTGTGAAGCTTCGTTGAGTGGGAAAATTACCCTGACAAGAAAGCTGCTGCGCACAAGATCTTGACGTCACAGACATTTCCCCCCAACCCTGAGTTCCAACTTGGCCCTATCCCGGGAACCAACCCTGTTCTTCCCGGTACGCACTGGAAGATGTGGCACCATGCCATCGGAGGTGAACTCACCAGCGTACCTGAAGACTCATGGGCTACTGTCCTCAAAGAGAAACACCCTGACATGCTGCACCTCCTGCAATTCCCTTACAATGGCGAGCCGCCTAAGCGCTTAGTCACTGACAAGGAATTCACCCCCAATTCCCTTCACTTTGTGAGAAATCACGGTGGAATTCCCATCATCAACAAAGAAGACTTCAGCTTCCTCATGGATGGTCTCGTCGCAAACCCTAAATCCTTCACACTGGATGAACTCATGGACGAGTCAAAGTTCCCTCGTATGTCAAAGAACGTCACAATCCAGTGTTCTGGAACTCGTCGTATTGAGCAGATTCTCAAATACCCTGGCCAAGGTGATGAAGTTCCCCAAGCCCCCTGGGCTGAAGGAGCAATTGGCACTGCCAACTACGTTGGTATCAGCCTCAAGAAGGTTATCAAGGCTTGTGGTGGCTTGATCGATGGCGCTAAGCACCTGGAGTTCTACGGTGCTGATACCTACTTCAAGGATGACAAGACGATGAATTATCTCGTCAGTGTTCCTTGGTCCAAGGTCAAAGCCAATGAGGTCATGCTAGCCTGGGAGATGAACGGTGAAGAACTCCCCAAAATCCATGGATACCCTCTCCGGATCGTGGTGTTTGGCTACATCGGCGCCCGCAGCGTCAAGTGGCTATACCGCATCAAGGCTATCAAAGAGCCGTCAAGAGCACCTGTCCAAAGCCAGGAGTATCTATACTTCCCTCAGCAGGTTGGCAAGCACAACTTCAAACTCACAGACGGTATCCAGATCCAGGAGATGCCCGTCAGTTCTGCCATCATGTCACCCTGGACAAAGCAAGTTGTCATCCACAATGGCAAAATTCGCTGCAAGGGCTGGGCTTACTCTGGTGGCGGACGTTGGCCCGAGCGAGTTGAGCTTTCCAACGACGGTGGCTTCAACTGGTATACCGTCCCACTTGAGAACCTCTCCAAGAAGCGTAAGTGGACCTGGCGTACTTGGGAGTTTGAGCTTCCATGTGACGTCGAGGGCTGGGTTGAGATTGTCTGTCGCTGCTGGGATAACTCTCTCAACACTCAGCCGCCTGATGTCCGAACGGCTTGGAACTGGGGTCTTCACGTCACTAGCTCGTGCCATAGGATCTCTATTTATAGCGTCAACAAGACGAAGGAGAGGACCAAGGCTCGCTTGGATGAGTTTGAGAAGAAGGGTATTCCATTTGGTCCAATCACAGTTCCATTGGCATTCCCTTCTCAGAGCTGGGATGACTACGATAAGTTCTGGAAAGAGCATGATCCTCGTGATGCATACGATGAGTAACAGCGCGGATATAATAAGTCACGAAAATTGCGCGAACAAGAATGTCAGCTCGAAAACTAGGTTAATTGATTGTGAGATTTATCAACGCGCATGCCATAGTCAATTACTATCTTAAATCACCTAGTCACTCCTCTTCCTAATAAGCAGCAAGACACCAATCATGTCACCCGTAAGCATCTCCTTGCCCTTCTCCACGCCTGCGTCGCCGAGGATCTTCTCAATCCTTCTTCTAATTTGACGAACAACGTCATTCTCCGTTCCGACTGCTTCAGGATGGGCTTCGCGCCATCTGGTGACAGGACTAGCGGTTCCAAGAACCATCTCCACGATATCCAAACTAACGGGCGGCGAATGCTCAAAGAACATAGTCTCAGAATCTGGACCGGTACACCATTCTTTGCGCACGAATGAGCCCCGTTCAAATACCGAGACAGGCGGATCAAGAGTCCAAGGCAATGGTAGGCCGCGATACATATCGCGGACCAAAAGATTACCGGGTAGCAGATAGTCTTGGACCAAATTATCAAGGTCATCAATAACCTCCTGCACGGCTTCATGAGCGGGCATCGATGGATCGACTCGAATATCAACAGATGTCCATAGAGCCACGGTACCTCCAGGTCTGAGGGTCTTGGCAGCTTGCTCCCAAAATCGCGGCATGTCAAACCAATGGGCACAAGTGGCTGCAGTGATTACATCGACGCTGCCATCAGGAATGGGGTCGGCAAGTTCAGATCCCAGAGACTCAGCTGAAGAGACCTCGAACTTGACATTTTCGAGTGTGGTGATAGATCGCGCAGTGCTAATCATTCCCTCTGAGGGGTCAAGTCCATAGGCAGTCTTGAAGTGAGGGGCAAGGCTGCGAGTGGCTGTTCCTGGCCCGCAGCCAACGTCGATAAGGGTATTAAATTGCCCAGATCCTTCTTTATGGAAGTTTAGAATTGTATCGTACAGCTTGGGATTATAGTTGCGTCGATGTTCAGCGTAAGTAGCGCCTTGCTGCGCGCTATACGCCCGGAATGTCGGGTCAGATGGCTGTTGCGTCTGGCTCATGACGAAGAGTGATATGTGTTCAACGAATTGTATCAATATTTATTTACATATGACTTATTTCATTGCAAAAGATGTCTGTTAAGCACGGTTTATATAGCGAGGTGAGTTACCCCGTCCTAGTCCGTACGGTCAATTATATAGATGCCGTATCCGATGAGTCGACGGCTCAAATGTCCCGTGCTTACGCGTGCTGTAATCTCGGCATCCAATAACGTATCAGCAAATGCAAAGTCAGCAAGAACATCTTCTCAACAAATGCTACGAGTGGTTGGCTTGTACTAAAAATGGAGTCATTCAAGAGGCTGTCGTCGAAATGCATACCTAATTAGGCAAAGCGACCTTGGGCTATTTACCTTCAATTCCGTCATTCACATAAAGCCCTTTATGGCTGGAAGCATACGGTGTGCCTTGAGTCCTACCAATCTCCATTCATATATGCTTCCTCAAGTCATCTATCGCCGAGTGACTCATCTTCAGTCCTCCCTGACTTCCCGGGATCACGGCCCTCAAAGACAAGAGCCTCACGGATGAGTTTGCGAGCCAAAGTGACCGTTTCGCGGCTGGAGTAACAATACTAACGTTCTTGATTTATGTCCTCGATGTGTTATATTAGTGGTACTGGTTCCCGACAGGCATCTAACCGTCCTTGCGAATCATCAATGGGCAATGTAGCGGGCTCTCTATATCTATCCTGGTCAGGCCTAGATGGTATAGTTTCCAAGCTATGAGCTAAATGTGTTATCTGTTGTTGAGAGTTGTACGTGAGAGCTAATATCACCAACAGAAATAGGCCTTCCTCGATTAAGAGAACCCGACTACTCTAGCCATGCAATGTCCTTACATTTAATCCTACATCTATGTAATGGCCCCGGATACCTCCAGGGTCGAATAACTGCGACATTTGAACAGGATGAGAGAATCTTCCTTGACCTCTTATCATACTTCAAGTATCCAAGTACAACAAAGAGGTCTCTACGATGGATGCTATTGAATTTATATCGATGCTGAACCGATATCAGGAGTAGTACCCGAGGAGTGACTCTTCCAAAAGCTTCCATCAAGAATCTCACTATGAACAGTATTCTGCTCTGTTTATCTTTTGCTCTGGATGTAACTCGGAGATCCAGTTATTACGTTTGATGAGAAACTGCATGATACTCGTTGCGTTTAGACTTCGAAACTATGAAGAATGGGACATTGAGCAACTGGGAGGCGGCAACGCTCATCAAGTTCTATGAGACGGCTGCTATACTTGGAAGTGCAAAACGTAAAAACCCGGGCTTCCATTTCTTATTTGCGGGTCGCCAAAAGCTAAATCGTGTGCTCAGATACATGTTCATCATGCGATTGCTGATCGTCCGAGCGAGTCAACTTCTGTATCGAGTGACTCCCGAAGTCGTTGATGCGATATCGCTGATGCGCCGTTAGCGAGCAGGAAGAAGCCCCGTACTTGGCTGACTTGAACGGCGCAAAAAAGAAAGAATTTTGACCTTCATTACGAATCATGTCCTGAGGTATAGATATCGGCTGTTATCGAGTATTTCTCTGCAAGTTATATCCAAAATTAACAAATCGAGCATTCGTTGCTATTGACAGCATCGAAGGAATGTCGGCGAAAATGACACTTTTGCCGAAGCGAGTCTCGCCGAGAATCGGATCGACGCATTTAGAAAAAGGGGAGCTCATCGGCCCTGTTTCACAGAAGCGTAAGACCGTGCAAATCCCTGCGATTACGATCCAAGGATCGTAAAAGCTCGTCCGATAAAGGAAAATTCTTTGCTGGTTCAATCCTTGTTCCCTGCTGTCAATGCACGATTTTGATATCGAACCTTCTGGCCCCGTGGGAACCGAAGTGGTATTTACATCAAGTTGGACGACATGGTTGAGAATGACAGTTGGCGATAATTATTCTAATCCCGGTGGGATTCTATCTATGAGCGCTGTTGCTCTGAATCCCTTTTGTGTCCTTTTGTCTAAGCCTATATCCCGTGGTATCTCTAATAGTACAAACCAATCCCAACCATTACTCCCAATTCTAAATGATGTCTAATGATCGTCTGCATCCTCGTCCTTTCCTGGGTACATGATATCTCGTACAAAAACAGCTCTCATATTAAATGAGAAGACAATTAGAAATGTGATGAAAAGAATGATAGTCATGCCGCTCGCAGCCCAGAGAATGCCTTCACATTTGAACTCGTTGCCAATGGAGATAGTAGCAAGTGTGAAGCCAGTGTTGGGGAAGACCATGGGCCACCAGCCAAGATGGAAGAACTTTGGTGGGGATGAGACCACTGCGACAACAGCGATAAGGAACCACCACATGCTCAGTGCCCAGAGGAAGACTGCGCAGAGCAGAGCTACTGTGCGGACAGTGTCGACGTTGAGAGCCAGGTTGTCAGCTCCAGAAATGGTCCTAGGGAGTGCATTGGCCATTCCGATAAGGGCCAAGGCTGTAAAGGCTGGCGGGCCGACATTCATGAAGAGCGCGGTTCGGTGTTCTCGATTGGGAAGACCAGATTGCATGAGTCGACCGATCATGTGAGCGTACATCATCATGGAGACACAGAAGCCCAGGCCTTGACATGTCAGGCCAGCGAAGATGATGGGAAGAGGATTGAGATGGCTCTGGGTGTCCAAGATGACAGTTGCGACGGTACCAGCCAACATAACTGGGAAGATAGGCAGTAACCAACCCGGCATCATTGTTTGCAGGTTGAAGCTATGTCCTGCAAAGAGGTACGAGTATTGCCAGACAGCTAAGATGAATGTGACAACGACGTAGATCCAAAAGATGGTCTCAGTTGCCCAAACATATGAGGGATCGTCTTTGGGAATGACATATCGCTGGGTGCTGGTGATGAGTGAAGCGATAGCCAGGAAGAAAGTTGGGAAGAGGAATGCTTCTCGGTGATGGGTGACAGATTTTGTCAAGTCGCCGGGATTGAACAGAAATCGACATATCATACCAATACAGCAGAGCGTAAAGATGAGAAGGTTGATGCTGTAAAGCACAGTACCGATGATTCTCAAACCGGGGAATTGATGAGGTTGTACATGAATGAGCAATGCCAAACCGCCTGCACTCATGGGCAAAGTAAACCAAGCCCACGTGAAATAATGCAAGCGTTGTCTGAGGGACAATTCTTGTTGTGAAGGCTCTTCATCGATGCTGTCGTCTCGGCTGCCCTTCTCAAGTTGTGAGGGATCAGCTTTCGCTGCCGATTTCGCTGTATGATGATTCAGAAATGCCTTGGGGTCGTGTTCAGCCGGTGGCGAAGGAATAGATAAATCGACCGAATTTCGGCGCGTGGGGGTATTTGAGTCCGTCCAAGGGACTTCAAGATCTCGAAGGCGATCCATGTTGCGTTGGTGTTGTGAACGGTAGTGTAAATGCTTTAATAAGCCGTAGCGAGCGCTGATGGTGAATCATTGAAGAATGTTCTGATGAAGCAATTCAGAATCGAAAGTAGCGCAGTGCAGTATTTATAGATCCTTAGAAAAGATAAAGTCCATGGAGATGCCATTTTTTCAAAGCGCTACTAGTCGGCTCATTGTGGTCCTCGCCTAAAGGGGGCCATTACGAAGATTGCGAATCATGACATGGACCAGAATCTCGTGATGAGACCGTGATGGAAGATTCTAAACCCTGCATAACAGTGGGCCATGGCGCTGGAACTGCCGTGGCATTGAGGCTCATTCCAGGGGGTTACCCACTGTATTTCTAGTGGCCGGGTTTTAATGGCATGAATGGGCTGCCCATTAACGTGACGCTGAGGCTACGCGGATTCTGGCCCGGTGCGCCGGCGCCGGTTCCAAATGGTCGGTGTCATACTTTTAGTTTGGGACTAGGGGGGAGATAAGGCCGAGCCTCAAGGTGTTGGTTGTCAAGCAGGTTTTGTTCGCCACGGGGGTCTGGACTGTACTGATAAGAACGCTGGTGAGGCCTCTTATGAGTCCATAATCATGAACAACTGTCACTACTGCCTGATATACGATACGAGGCATTGCCTACTTGTCTGATCATACAAAATGCTATCCAGATAACGTTGCGAAGACGCTGTCAGTCTCACCACGGTCAACATTCAGAGTGGAGTGCTTCTGACCGAAGCTCGGCGGTCATTCCGTTTCGCCGCCCAACGGCCAAGGATTAGAACAAACCCAACTCAAGGGTTAAAATTAGCTGCCGGGCACCATCGGGACCATTTTGAGCCTCAAACGCCCAATTACACCATTTCTCTGCCCTTTGATGTATAGAGATAAAGGTTTTCGGACGATATCAGCCCAATGCCAAGGATACTGTGGAGTTCCATTAAGTATTTCGTCGATCTAATCAGTGATGGAGCCCAGGCTGATCATTCAGCTGTGTTTCTGCTATCATTCAGGAGGTTTCACTTGCGTTGCTTTGACGTGAAAATTCTGCCACCCCTTAAAATACACAAGGGCCCTTGTTGGCAGACGTTGACATCTTGCTAATCGTCATTCCACGTGCAATTTTTGCACGCGTCTGTGGACGTTATCTCTACGTGCACTAATCAATGCAATCAATCAACGAGTCAAGCTCCCTTGCACATCGGATAAAAACGGAGATGTCCTTGATCCTTATCTTTATCCCACTTATATGCGAGCTTCTTGATGTTTAAAGGTTATTCACTAGCAATGACGACAAAATACGGATCGTTAGTATAGTAACTAGTAATATTTGTTTATCCTAAAATAGAAGTATCTAAGTACCTTAAGTATAGAGTAAGATGCGAATTCCTTTTACATCCTTATTATCATTTAAGAAGACTGATTTCTACGGATATCTGAGACCAACATAAGTAGTCGTATCTTCTTCTCTAAGCTATGGTGCATATCAAATTATGTATAAATCTATACTTTACCCCGGCGTTACAGTTTATTAAACCTAGAAAAAGCCCTGCAATTTATATTTTTCTATCACCTTGCCATATAAGCAGCAGTAGTTGTATTGGCTCCATCTACCTGCTGAACTATTTAGCAAGTAATAGATTCGATATCACTCAGACCGACTTGCAGCTATGATCGCGAAGTAAGGACTTATCGCAGGGTAGTCACTCCTTTAATGAAAAACTGAAGAAGACAAACTGTATCTGCTGGTGTAGCCTGGGATAATCTCACAGTTCCTAAACTATTACTATTAAGCTCAAACAATGTTATAGCTTCCATAGGTTATAAAACGACCATAGCAAAAGTTCGCATCTATATTGTCTGAGCCAGTTGAACAGGTTTGACCAGTGTATAATCCAACTGTATACCGCCAACGAAGCTCTGATTAGTCTTTGTGATCATATAGAAACACACGGGAAGTACCTGCCTGCATTATTATTGTTGATATAAGAAATGTACACAGATTTGACGGCCTTGTCCGTGGGAAATGTGTGACATTTGTCGGTATCCTCAGAATAGAGATTAAATTCGCCCATACTTTCGGCAGTAGTGCAGTTATCGTCGCCGAATATTTCAAAATGGGCGAGGGATGCTTCTTCACGAGGAGAAATCAGTCCAGCAGTGGCGTGTGAGATAAGGGCCATAGCGGAAGCCAGGAAGAGAATAGAGGACTGCATGATTGCTGGTGTTTGAAGGTTCAGTGCAAGCGAGTAATAAGGCTATTTTTGCGTGATGGTAAGGGATAGTAAAGATGAAGGATGGAGCGTTGATGATATTTATGCTCTTATGAATGCATCCGGGGTCAGCAAGCAGAGTCAATATTAGTAACTAGACCAACCACGTCTGCAATATCAGCTGAGGAGTAGATTAAGTCTCCAACACAGTTGGGCACAATTCAAATGGTTCTTATCCAATTACCTCAAGCAAAATCCGATGTCAGCTCGTATAAACTTAGGTGTGTCGATCATTGCATATATCGAGCCGTCCTAGCCGTCTTACTAAGAATAACAGTTTATGTCTCCCCAGCAATCGCAAGGCAGCTGAGAGTGGGAATTTAAATTTAGCATTTCATGACATCAAAATGCTTTTGATCAGTCACTTTCCTCGTATAGACGGCGATCAAAATGATATATCATACCGAGCTGTCTGCAAGAAGCGATGAATCAAGACAAGAGCTAAAGATAGATATAGAGTATTGTTCTTATTGGGCAGTACTTTCATATTGTGCGCTTTCATGATAGTATTTAATTAATGCAAATGCCTCTTATATTAAGGAAGTTATCCAAAGCATACTAGGGTTTTATCCTCCTGGCGTTGTGTAGATCATGAGTCAGATGGGCTACTTCTAGTTGATACTTGTGGCTCAGAGCTTATAAATGTCATCAAAGAGAACTTGATGGGTTTTTACCGGTCTATTATCGGCTCTTAACTGCACAGTAAGTTCTTCATTTAGAGGAATGTCGACCTCACTGTAAAAATAATCGAGTACGTGCTCGATTGAGATACCGTAATAGTAACTTCCGTGATAGGCATCCAACGCGATGGAGTCGCGACTGTTACGATCTTCTATATTTATACAGCCCGCTCGGAGATCAAATTATCTAATTCCGGCATTCAGTTGTTGGGTTTTAGCCATGTCTTGGCAACGTATGATGCTGCTCCCCGGGCTTAACGGACCATCCCAACTGCTCGTAGCAGAGTAGTGTGTTCCTGAATTGATAGCTGCGCGATGCTTATAGATGGATTAACGGTATAGCTCATTTAAATAGGTAGAACTTGGAAAACCGTTGTTGGGAAAAAGGTGACTGCAAAGTAAAAGCTAGACGGGAAAGGTATTGATACTTGATGTCACTGGCCCTGTGACGAGAACAGTGATGCTCTGCGTTTATGGCTTCTAGATGAGAACTTGGCGATCCCTAATGAAAGCTCCTTGCACATGAATGAGTTGGATGGCCTACACCATGGGCTGTATTTCGCCACCGTTTTCAGACACGTCGTACATGCATGTGAGGGGCCACGGCTAAGGATCGACTCCAAATAGGGAAATACTTGTGACTTAACGATTACACCGCATAGCCTAGTCATGATCCTACGTATTTGAAAAGGCTGCGGAATATTTCAATTGCTGTTTTGCTAAAGTTCAACAACGTTCCCTCTGGCGACCCTTCTTGTCTTCCTTTGACCAGTACCGGTTCCCTGTTTCGGACATTTGCATGATCTCGATGCCTCCATATCGCAGTTCAGCTTGCTACTTTCTATTCCAAGAACAGATGTAACAGTCTCAGAAATCATGATTTCACAGACAGTGACGATCAGGCAGAATGGACGCCACGGCGCGTATAATGAGTCCAATTCAGTTCTGTTGCGTCAGTCAGTAATAAAAGGCATAGAGATCGTCGGGGCGGGATAGTAGCCGTCATATGTAAGTGTCAGATTCCCCATTGAGCTGTGGAAGAGGGCAACCAGATGCCAATAACTGTCGTCGGGAGATGATATGTCATTTGTGCTGACGAAAAATCTTACGCTTTATAGGACAATACCTAAAGAGTATGGTATGGCGTAACACGGCACACAATGATTTTCTGAGACATGGCGCGGGATGGCGCGGGACGGCACGTATTGAGGCCTTCTACTTATCCTTCTTCTGTACCGGACTCTAAGTACGTTTTTTCTACCATCTGCGGTTGTTTGACTACCGGCGACCTTTCAGTATAAGAACCGTCGGGTTGCCTAGGTAGCTGGAACTCTCATCACTCCATCAGACACAGATCTGCAACTGTCCCAGGATCTCTCCATACTTATCTCCACTTGCCTTACAAGCTCATCAACAGCAGAAATGAACAGCTCACCAGAACCGTCACAGCATTCTCAAGGCTTTGCTGCTCTTGCTCCGCCAGAGGGTAGCGGAGTTCTGCGAGTTGACTCTCTTCCCGAAGTCATGCGTACTGAAGCGGGCTTCTTTTCACACTTTCTTATAGAGGTCGTTCCAAATGCCATCTATCACCAGACTTGGAAGCAAAAGGACCTCAAGGACCCGGGCTTCCCCCGAGGAGATTATACCCGCAAAAATGCGCCACTTAAAGATGCTATAGCGTACTATGCCAGCACCAGCGTGTATCACGTTGAAGAGAATGGCGGCTGGAAGTCTGGTGGTACTCGGGCCTTATTCCACTCGACCGATTATTCGTACAGTTGGATTCGTGGCCCAAACAAGGCTGTGCTCCTTGCCTTTCCACTGGCGGACTACCGGCGCTACCCCCGTCTTGTCATTGACACGACTCTGCCGGTTCGAGGATTGTATTTCCCTCAGCTTTTTTCTGAGCCGTATTACAAAGGGCTCTGCCGAGTGTCACAGGTGCTTTTCTATAAGCACGATGCTATCTATATCCCTTTTACATCTGGGAGCTTTGAGAAAGATGCACAGTGGCACCCATCAGTAGGCTTTATTACCCATAAGGGGGATCGTCACACCATGTCGGGTGACAAAGGCCTGCATTATTTCGAGGACAAATGCCTGGATATACGCATCGCTGAGCTAATGATCGCTCTCTCTATCGACATGAGAGATATGAATCCTATTGAAATTCCTATTGGGCTTCCGGTGACCCCAATCCCGGGAGTTGAGCAACAGAAAGTTTATGAGCACCCTGCTTTTCAATACATGAACAGCCTGGGTGCCAGCTCCGTTGGAGGACATGGTGGTCCTCCATATCACCAGATATCCCGTAACGATTTCGGTCCTTATCACGTCTGGATGGATGCTCATATCTCTAAGAACGAGGGGATAGAATACGTGTTCAAGCCTGCTGATGAATCCACCCTACTGGGCATCATAAAGACTCTCGTTGGATCGGCACTAAACTTGATACCTTTCGTGGGGCCGTTAGCCAGTGTATCCTGGTCTCTGATTTTTGACGCCATAACTGATCCAGATAAGCTGAGAGAACTTGGGAACCTCACCGGTGTTGAAACGGATATACTCAAGATGCAGCTGAAAGAGATTTCTAAGCTTGCCAAGGGCTTGAAGATCAAGAAGGGTCATTGGGACGTGGGGAATGATGACGACATACTGAGGGACTTAGAGAGGAAGGCTATAGAAGAAGCATTGGCTCAAGAGGATCGGGAGGCTAATGAACACGCCCTTCCTGTGGACAAACCTACTGGAGCGATTGTTTTTGCGACGAATCAGAGCGTTTAAATGGCGCTCTGTTGAGTTCGGGGTTGTTGGCCAGTAGGAGAGGGCATTGCTTCCAAGAATTGGCTCTAATCGCGTGTCTAAAAGTCTTGCCTTGTGACGGTTGGAGTTTTGAATCGTAAAATTACTCCAAGATCTCGTGATATTCATCATGGCTAGCTTATCATTTGTATAAGCTACTGCAAGCTGTATATTATTATATAAAGAAGCAGTTTCTTATTCAGGGCATGATGTTCATATAGGCGCAGTTAGGTAATACTAACTAATTTATATTCAAGTAAGTAAGTAAGATTTAAAAAACCTTAAGTTATAGTTTATCTTTTTTATTAAATGGGGAATACAGAGCTAGGATATATATAATTAGTTTAATTTAAGCTAAAGTTCTCTTAGTAGATTTATATGTCTTATTAGGATATTATAAGCTTTAACCATTCATTGATTAATTATCTAGATAATTATCCCAGAATGACAGAGAAGCAAGAACGACAACTTCGAAGAGTAATGACTGAGAAGTTGATGCCTGGTCGCTTAGGGCAATGCTTCTTGTTCATACGCCAAATATTGAGATTGTCTGATGCCATTAAGTCGCTCCGGCGTCACAAGAGTACCCTTCAGATACTCCACCTGGATGCCACTGCCAGAACTGGCGATGCCAGAAGGGCCAAGCCAGGTGTAAACATGAGGGACTTTACAGCACTTCAACATCTCTGGATCAGTACTATTCTACTATGTCCCTCCGCTCCGAGATCAGACAGACCGGCCGATGCGGAAACATTTGTGGATTTCCTTCCTCGCTCTATCGTTTCACTCGAAATCTATCGCTATCTCAGATGTTCCACAGACAACGCTCTACGAAGACTCGCGGCCGTGAAGCATGAGAAGTTCCCCTTTCTGAAGAAGGTTGTCTACGGACCAAAGAACAGAGGAAACCTCGGCCAAGCATTTTAAGTGGAAGGTGTTAGTTTCAGTACCAAGATATGCAGTTTGTCTCTTGGGAAAGGTTATCTTCAAGGGCCAAATACAGACAGTCGCCTTGAGTTTCTGGATTGGGATAGCGATAAAGAGCTGCGGCAAGGAGAAGAATAAAGAGGCCAGGACTGGGTTCAAGCTTTGCTGCATTCATTCTAGATATATATTATTATCAGTATTCCTACTTTTATAATCCTATTTAACCTATTAATAACAGCTATACCTTATTGCTAAATAGTATATATATTTAAGTATGCTATATACTACTTATATTAGGCTTAGGCATAAAGGTATAACTTTATGGTTATTTATAATCTATAGAAATATTAGGCGCTGAGCAATAATCATGAGTTTAATTATATAGCATTAGTATGCATCCCCTTCATTACAAGTCATGTTTCTTCTTGCAAGTTCAACGAATAGCATTATGTTTTCATTACCAGACCGTCACAACCCGACACCAGTATAATTGCTCTAAAACATCAACGTCATTGCCTGCAGGGGCAAAGGATGCCAGCGGCCGACAATCGCAATGTCAGCGGCAAACAGTGATGAGCATCTTTTATCGTTCAGCAAAGCAATTATTGGTTTTAAGAAAGTATTATTCGAGGTAACGTTCTAATTAGGTACATGACATTGAGAAGTTTGACCCATGCGTTACTCATGGCCAGCACGGGCTACCATCCCTCTAGTCAATCGTGGTGGGGTATCGATGTTGCGGTGAAGAGCGCGAAAATATTTCATTGTTTTCCGGGGTAGCATACGGCGTCGAGGACTCGAGGTTGTGATCTCTTAGGCGGGAACAGTCATGCCCTCGTTGGCCTTGTAGCCCTCAGCTGGGGCCGATGTGTGAGCCTCGCGGTACTCGGCCTCCTTGTCTTGCTGGATGAGATCGCAGCAACCACAGCAGCATGCAGTAGCGAGATCGACAAGACAGCTGCCCTGAAGGTTGTACTTCTCGCGGAGGTTAGCGCGCTGGAGAGCGAGAGGGATCCAGTGAAGACCGAAGCAGGTAGAGCCCCAGAAGAGGAGGCACTGATGACAGAAGATGTTAGTAACGGTTAGATAGAGGAGCATGGAGAACATACAGAGGTGTTGATGGGCTCGTATCCCTGAAGGTTACCGTTCTTTCGGAGACGGTGATGGGTCTTGCCAAAGGTCACACAAGGGACGCAGCAGGTGATCGCGCAAAGGCTGACGGGGCTGAAGCAGCCAAAGAAGCTGTTCTGCCAAGGTTGAGAAGACTCGGGCGACTTGGAGTTGACATGCTCGCTGGGACGGGCGAGGACATCATTGAAGCGGTCCTTCCACTCGTTAAGGTCGTTATGGTCGATGGGACCGTTGTTGTGAGCGTTCGTCTGAGCTGGGGTAGACATATTGATGGTAAGAAAGTACTGTAGAGATAGATGAAAGAGTGACGAGAAAAGGTTCGGTATGTAGAAGATGGGAAGGTGAAGGAGAGTGATGAACAAGACCATGTGAAACAGAAGGCGGATCCCTCGCATACTTATCACTTCCCATTCCATACCCCAGGTCCCCCACCATCACTTCCTTTTTTTTCACGGCGACCCAAAGGTGGCTGAAAGGCCTGAAAATGCCTGATAATGCTAGCGTGCATCAAGGGCGTTCTGATCACCATTCTGGCAGATTACAGCTTTGACACGGGGCGTGTGACAGCCAATCAGGAACAGCGGGCAGAGCAATCATGCGGAGAGGTTGTTCAGCCCTGTGGGAGGCTGGAAACATTTGATTCGGCAGTTGGGCTAGTGGAGGCGCCACCAATTTGGGTCTGAAATTGAGCGTTGGGAGCTAATGCATGGTGTTGCAAGCCTTTGACCTCAGGGCGCTGGTTGTTTTAGGACGGAGAGATAAGAAGCTCCTTTTCATTACGGAGATGTAACCCCTTCACTTGCTTCTCTACATAAAGGTGTTATTGTCAGAGTGGGAGTCCTTCTGGAGGCCTAGAGGTACATGCTCCCCAGGCTCCGGGCGCACAACGAATGCCAGTTCATTCCAGGCATCGGATCATGCTTCCTCGGCACTTAGCCTTAACCCAAAGCCGATCGTAAAACCACAGAATTAAATGAAATTTGGCCCACTCACCTGACACGCACTACAGAGCGAGCGCTCTTATTCCGCTGCGGCTGAGAGTCGGCAATTGCCTAATGCGGTCTGAGCACTGTAGCTCAATTACTGCGAATGGCTTGGACTGAAAGGTAAGGCCAAGTGACTCATCGCTGTCAAGTTCTTGGCAGTAAAAGCTTTTATTTTCTTGTGCCTGGTTCGCTTATTGATTCTGTTAATGGATAAGTCGGAGGCCGTTGATAATTACGAGGTTTGTTTGGAGGTTTCATGGAGACGGGATGCCTAACAAGGCAGAATCTCCACTGTGGGGATTTTTATCATTCTGGAAGCCGATAAGATTTGAAAGATAACGGGTTTGCCTTCTTATCGTGCACCAATCTATTTATATCGCTTCAACAAATTCACGGCCAAAAAAGTATCATAGCTGATAATTTTCAGCACACTAGATGGAAAACTTGGCAATTACAAACCGCATATGTACCTACCACATAGACAAGTTCACGCTGGAGAAGGAATAAAACGTTAAAAGTCTAGCTCTTTATAGTCTATTCTCAAAGCAAGTACCTATGCAGCAATATGTACATAAGCCCCTCCAGTATTCTAGGGCATGTTGATGCCTCCATCAACGGGAATAACCTGCCCGGTGATAAAGCTTGACGCAGGGCTAGCGATAAAAGAGATAACATCAGCAATCTCCTTGGGCTCACCCTCCCTTGCAATAGACTGGCGAGATTTCAGTATATCACCAATGGGATTACCCTCCATGCTCATATCAGTCGCAACAGGTCCCGGCGAAACCACATTGATGGTGATTCCCTTGCCAGCAAGCTCACCCGCCATAGCAGTGGACATGTAATGCAAAGCAGCCTTGGACGAGCCATACACTGTTAGGGGGGTAATACCCAGCTTTCCAGCGATGCTACCGATGTTGATGATACGTCCTCCGGTAGGCATGTGAGGAATTGCTGCTTGGATGAGGAGGAATGGTCCCCGAACGTTGGCGTGGAACATCTTATCCCAAGACTCAGTCTCGATGGCTGCAATCTCGGGGTGTCCAAATGCGATGCCTGCATTATTGACGACGATATCGATGGTCTTGGTGTTAAGACCCTCTAGAGCTGCGCGAACGAGGTCGGTGCCGAAAGATTCAGATGATGCGTCTGCCTTGGCGGCGATGGCCTGGACACCGAGTTCCTTGATCTGAGCAACGACCTTCTCGGCGGGCTCAGCGCTGGTTGCATAGTGGACAACGATCTGCAAGCAGTCAGTAAGTTTAACTAGAAGTGAGGATCGAGTAGGTACTCACATTGGCTCCATGCTTGGCGAGGGCTAAAGCAGTAGCAGCACCGATGCCGTTGAGCTTAGAGGAACCAGTGACGATGGCAGTCTTGCCGGCGAGGTACTTTTCAGAGCTCATGGTGAATGTTTTAGTTTTTGTGAAGTGATTGAAATAGTAGAATGTTATAGAGGTAATCAAGTTGCTGGATTGAATGGTGATGATGATAAAGTCTCTTGTCCTGGCGATTGACTGCTTCTTATAATCGTGAACAAACTCCTATTTCGTCCAACACTGCAACGATATGGTTCTTCCGTCAACTGTCAAGCATCCGAATCCAATTCTGTGATCGAAGGTTACTAATTGGTGCATTCTACGTCATGTCTATAGAATCCCACACAAATTCACGATCTCAAAATCCTCTCGCACTAAAATCCGTAATCTATCCGACCACCTGCAGCAGCTCAAACTGCGCACCATTCCCAAAAAGGAGTTTGCTCAGCCTGCTAGGGCTGAAGACATTGGTCGACGGAGGAATTGAATAACGCGACCGAGTTGCGCGTCCACTCAGAGTCTGAAGACCCCTGCGCGCCAGGGGATCCATCAGCTATTACTAACGCACTCTCTACGATGCCGAGTGCCGAGTTACAAAGCGACGTGCGCTAGTGGCTTAGAAATTGCTACGAGCTGCGATAAGGGATTGGTGAGATCGATATCTGTGGGGCTTTGGATGACTGAACCTTTTTGCCTTGGAGGGATTGTTTTGCTGGCGTGGTGTTTATTGCGTCACTGGTGATATGGCGATATGGTGCTTGGAATGTGTTTTGGTGCATTTGTAAATGCGGCGCGGGTGGATTGGCTGAACAATGTTAACGTTACTGGTATCGTGAGAGTCAGATCGCATTGGATTATGATTCGAGGAAGCAAAACTCTGCTTACGTGCGTCCATCTATATAACATCAATAAACTGCTTCTTCAAGTCTATTAACCTTTTCAGATACAGCTTTGTTGTCCAACAATCATACTTTCACATCGATACTATCATCAACCACTCAATCAACAACTTTCTCAACTTTATATCATCATAATGCCTTCAATAATTGTCTTCGGCGCCTCTGGCTTCGTGGGTGGTATGTCAACTATTCTCAGGCTTCGTTTCCATCCTTACTGACTCCATATTCTCAGTTCCGTATGTAAAAGCCCTCAAGAAGGCCCATCCAGACTGGCCCGTCACAGCCTACGTCCGCAGTCCCCAATCCGAGTCCCAGCTCAACACAGACCGTGTCATAGTCGGCGACTTCTCTGACTTTGAAAAGGTCAAGGCCGCCAGCGCAGAGCACGATATCGCCGTTAACGCTGGAAACTCGTTTACAGCTGATCCAGTCGCTGCTATCATCGCTGGTCAGAAGTCCCGCGGTACCAAGGGTAAAGTGATTCACATCAGCGGTGGAGGAAACTTCATCGATTTTGGAACTTCAGGAAGCTTCAACCCTGAGAGCAAGGTATGGAATGACGCGAATGAGGATGATATCAAGGCTATTCATAAGGAGATGTTCAATGGACAGTCTGATACACTTGTTCTTGAGGCCGGGAATGGGGATAACGGCATTGACACTTACATCGTTTGTCCATCTGTTGTTTATGGTGGCGCAAGTACTTCGTCGCCTGTTTTGGGCGTGGGGTATAAGCTTATTACTGGAAACGCCAAGCCTCTGGGTTACGTCCCCTACGTCGGCGAGGGAACAGCCGTGTTGAGCACGGTACGCACTCCTATTCTATATCTGTCACCTGTACTAACTCCTGCAGTGTCACATTCTGGACCTCGTCGACTTCCTCGTCAAAATCTCCGACGTTGCAGCCCAAGGCCCTGCCGAGGGTTCTCCTTACAGTCGTTTCTATATGCTGGAAACTAGCCGAGTTGCATGGAGGGATCTGGCCACTGAGCTTGCCAAGATGATGCATGAGCGAGGTATCTTCTCGAGTCCTGCGCCTAAGAGTGTTGACTTTGAAAAAGCTGGTGAGGGAGAAGTCAAGTACCTTGTTGGCTCGAACATGCTCATGAAGGGCGACCGTGCTGCTGCGATGGGTTTCAAGGCGAAGCATCCTAGTATTCTGACACAGATTCATGAGGACCTGAAGGAATTGCCTATCTAAGCCGCCTGCACCATATCGGCTTGTCGCAGCTAGAGCCTATGAATGTCATGTCCAGATAGTTTTCCTCCATTGAATAGATCCTTTTTGCATCACCGGACTGAGATTGGATTCAATGTTGATGATAATTCTTCATGATATTTTCATTATGTCGTGATATATAAACCAAACCCAGAACTCCATTCTAGCCTGTATTCCGATGTCTATACCGTGCCCGCAGTATGCTAATCGTACTTTGAAGACTCCCAGTCTAAGCCTCTAACCAAAGTTCTTGAATAACAGTTTTCATAGTCTATCCAAAACATTAGAACAGATGACTCATGAACATGGTTGAAAGGTGACTCATACCTGTTCACTTTGTGCGTTGTTGTACTGACTGAATTTTCTGTCGAATGTCCGTGATTGTGGCTTCAATTGTGTTCGGACGCATCCGCCTACTACAGTGGCGCTGCCAACTGTTAAGAGAAGAGGAACGATCCTGGTATTGTCAGTATGGGAAGACTTGGTGGGTTTTATTGGGGCTTACTTTTGACCGGTGGGCATGACTCTGAGAACTGGTTGCATTTTGGTATTGTGAAGATGTGAATGTCTTGGTAGCGAAAGTCGAAATTACAGTGAACTTTAGTGCAGTGCAGTTCAATCAGCAGGAATCAATGAGATTGAGAGTGATGATATCCAAATCGAGAATGATTGCTCGTTCATTATATACCATATCTTGTCAGCCAAAAATGCCCCCGTATCTTGCATTATCGATAACCGTCAATCGCGTGGTGAGAGCGGCGTTTCGAGGCCGTCTGGTGGTCCGATGATTCCTCGTCTGGAACCCCTGGTCGGGTGCTTCCGGGGCGTCAATCAAGCGGTGCAATCGGGCCATGAGGAGATCTGAGTTGGAATACAGTGGGCGAACATGAGATGCGCATGTAATAATGAAACAAGGGCTATTATTAAATATAGGCGATTAAGTTTCTGCGTATCAAATTTTGCCATTCATACGCGTTTTTACGTGTTTTTTCAGTATCGGGAATTATTGGTCAGGCCATTCAATGTGTCAAGAGCCTCAAAGGTGAAACAAATTGCCTGGACAGTACACATTGTGACTGACACGTAGATGATCACCTTTTCTAATCTTGTTCATCTACGGTGAGGCTCAAATAATGGCATGTAGATCATCCATTCCAGCGGAGTTCGCCATGGATTAAATTTTCAGGTACGGTACCACAAACCATCTGATGCTTGGCCTCGGCGGATCCCGATTCCGCCCTTTTCATCGCCAGGGGATGATAAAACTGAACCGCGGTATCCGATCCCAGATCGCTCATCAGGCAATCTCTAAAAGATTCACCGGCTTTTCTCGATGTTCACCTTGACAAGGCCCGATTATATCTTGAAACTTCAATTGCTGAGTTTTTTGAATCGCCGACAAGGAATGTTTCAATTCCTTGATTTTTGGTTCAGCGTGTTTCTGGTTACGGGAAGTGGTCTGTGTATCTGGCCATTTCGCTCGGTGCTCTCGGGTTCACAATTGAAGGTGTAGCCACGGAAAATTCTACTCTTTTAGGAAATTCCATGGTTTCTGGATAGCTTCATTTTTGGCTATTAATGATAGAATAGAGAATTGAGTTGCTGTTGGGCTTGGCTGCTTGCTCCAGCCACCCAACCACGCAAGCTCGTGACGTCATGCCAAGTTCTCATCTCGACGATATCAACCCTTGACCAAACCCCTCTCTGTCATAGAGAATCGCCAATACCCTTCCCAATCGTGTATCCCCTCACTCCGATATATTGCACAATCACCATGGCGTGGAAAGACCATCTCAAGCGTCTCAAGAATGAGTTCGAGAATCTAGTCGGTGAGCCGCAAGCTCAGAATCAACAACAACATCCCCCACCGCCTGGACCTCCTCCACCTCAGCAACCCATCGGCGGCCAGCAGCAGGGCCACGTCTACTGGCAACCTCAGTTCCGCCCTGATGTCCCCGTCACACAAGAGTGGGATGCAAAGATCGGAAACGGCCCGGATGGCTGGGGTAATCAGGAATTACAGTACTACACCGCCGATCAACAAAATGCCTTCCAGTATGTCCAAGTCTAACTACATTAAGAAGCTACTTTTATCTAACGAAACAGCACTCCTGATGGAAAACTGGTACTGAGAGCTGTTGCGAATAATTCTTCTGAGGACCATGAGAAGCGGTATACGTCTGCTCGCTTGGTGAGTCGACAGACCCTCTCGCGCGATCAGGGCGTCCTCACCGCCTGGATCACTTCACCCTGCGCAACGGGTATCTGGCCTGCATTCTGGCTTCTTCCCCAGGAGCCTTTTTCGTGGCCTACAGATGGTGAGGTGGACATTGCGGAGACGTGGAATGGGGATCTTGAAAATCACTCTTGTCTGCACTGGGGTCATCACCATGAACCTCACAAACATCGTGTTCTCGGCACTAAGATCCCCGACATGCAGCATCGCCCCGTCAGGTATGACTTTGCATGGCTCCAGTCGGGTGGACAGCCTGGCCAAGGTAGAATGATCTGGTATATTGATGGTAGACCTGTGATGAAGGGAGATATCCCCGAGGGTACGAGGCCAATGAGGGAGATGACTATTCTTCTCAACGTTGCTATGGGAGGTAATGTCTGCGGCGGTAAGACCCCTGCAGATGGATACTACGATATGGTCGTGCATAGTCTGTATATGGGAAGCGAGCCAGAATATGGTGGCTGGCATCGATTCGAGAATGATTGGGCTGCGTCGCCGATGGGAAATACCTACTGAGTCTAAAAAATGAGATAAAAGATTGCAACATTCGATCTTGCCTGAACTTTTCGAGAACGCTAGCCTCCTTTGAATATCCCCAAGGTCGATCAGCAGATGTCATATGTTGATGTACTCAGATTATGCCAGATTCGATCAGAACATAACTAAGATGGATATGTCGGATGATCTTGATGATTGAGATCGTCGGGATTCGGGAAATTCTAAAAATACCTGC